GTCAAAATGTAAACAGACAAAGCAGCCACAAAAAGCAAGCATTTCTTTATTACTGTTGTTGAAAAAAGACCTATCATTTTCGAGAATAAAACAAACAACTTTGAGTCATGTTTGAACTGATGCAGCATGGGCTGTGTTTTACTCACCCAATTTGCATATTTATATTCAGGAACTAGAAGGCGTTATCCTTCAAATAATGATTCACACATGTAATTTGGGCTTACAGTTCCTAATTTATTTGCTTTTCCATTTGGGTATGCAATATAGGCAAGAATTCCCCAAAATGAGGTGGATGTTAAGAGGCTAGAGGGGTGGATGCTGCTGCCTTTTTTTTTTTTTTTACAAGTAACTCCATGACTTCTGGGTCTTTTATAATATAATTTGTCTGATGATTAAATGTATTAGGAAAAATAAAATACTTAAAGAGAAGTAAAGTAAGATAATCAAATGGCCAGATTTGTTTAAGAGAAACTTAGGGTTTTCTCATAATAACAAAATGTCTCAGAATAGGAGGACCATGTTCTTTAAATGCAAGAGTCTGACAAGGAAAAAATTCAACCGTATGCTATTTATGTTGATGCAGTAGTGAAATGTTTTTTTATTTTTTATCTTAATATGAGACTGTTTCCTTGAGTTGCATTCTGAATAATAAAATGCAGCTGCTCATCTTGTCAAACACTAGCTGAGTAACTGACAAATAAACATCAAACCAGCATTAAAATTTAACATCAGAGGAAGACATCTGCATGACCTATTTATTAAGATGTGTGTTCTGTGTTTGAATACATAACATGCAGAGAAATACATAGTTATTGGCTTTTACTGCTAATTTACTTGGGGAATTTTCTTGGCTTCATATCAACACCTCATTCATCTGAGCTCTGCCTTCTGAGAATGATAACACAACTGCAGTGAAACTATTTTAAAGATAGATGTACTGATTTGTCTGTTATTTGACCTTTGATCTGGTAATTGCATAAATCCTTTGATACATGTTGCAAATCCGATAACCAGCATTATTCAGTCTTGCATCTCAAAAATCTGAAGGGTTTTTTGCAGGACTAGAAAACTACAATTTAAGAAAACAAAAGAAATGCAAAAAAATAATCTGATATTTAATGGCTATTTAATGGGAATGAAATGTAAAAAAAAAAATCTATTTTTATTATCATATTGGTGCCATTTTCTCTCTTAGCATCTGAGCTATGGAAAAGGTAAATTTCATATTTTATGTCACTAGACAGCAATCTGTCAAACATTGACACAGGATGTATTGTGAGAACTAGCTTATACATATTGAGATCATTTATTAGGAAAAAAAATGCATTAGAGTCAAACTAATTGATACAGACACATTTTTACTAACATTTCCTGTAACTATGAAATAATTTTAATGTTATGTTATTACTAAATCACTTCCTCTTCTTTTGCAATTCTTAATTTGCTCCATGGCTTTGTTGTATGTTAAAAAATTATATAAGCTGCTTTCTGGGTTTTGATAGAATATAAAACATATTTCATCATAAGCACAATCAAGTGCATTTACACTCGATTGACTGAACTCTAATGCTGTAGATATTTGAGTGTGGTCTAGTTCTTCTTGCAGCCAAAGCCAATCTATGAACATTGGTTCAGTTCTTCTCTTGGTGAGAATAAGCCCAGTCCTTTACTATGTGTGTTTTTTTATGTGCACTTGTGTATTTAGTTGTCATTTGCAAAAGACATTTGGTACTAAAGAAATATTATGGTGTAAGGATTTGAAAAAGATTATTTTACTTCAGAACCCTCTCATCAAATAAAGAATCACAATGATATAACAATTAAAGGTATTGTGGAGGATTTTCATGATTTTTTTAAAAGTCTAGCCCTCTCCACTTTAAAAAAAAAAAAAAGGCACATGCACAACCCTAACCCCTAAATGAGAGGAAGTGGACCAGCTGTTGGACTGGTGCAAAGATAACAGCCTGATCCTGAACGTGGAGAAGATGAAGGAGATCATCTAGGTCTTCAGGAAGAACCGGCCTAACCGCGCTACACTGGTCATCAACAGCTCAGCTGTAGAGGTGGTCAACAGCACTAAATTCCTGGTGGTGCACATCACAGATACCCTCACCTGGACTGTAAACACCACCTCACTGGTCAAAAGGGCACAAAAGCGCATGTACTTCCTGGGGAGGATGATAAGAGCCCACCTGTCCCCACCCATCCTCCCCACCTTCTACAGAAGCACCATAGAGAACATTCTGACCAGCTTTGCCACTTTGTGGTGCTGAGGCTGCAGCGCCTCAGACTGGAAGAAGGTGAGAAGAGTGGAGAGAACAGCAGAGAGGATCATCAGGGCTCCTCCATTAAAGACATTTCATCCCAGCGCTGCGTGTCTCGAGCCCGAAATATCATAAATGGCCCCTCACACCCCCACCATGGACTGTTCTTCCTGCTGTCCTCTGGGAAGAGGCTTTGAAGCTTCTGATGCAGGTCCAGCAGATTCCAGAACAGTTTCTTCCCCACTGTTGAACTGCTGTGTAAAATGGGTTTATAAAAAAAACAACAAAAAACTGAATGTTAGAACTGTAACTATACATTCATATGTTTACATAACTGTTTTTCATCACAATGTTTTTATCACTGCTGCTTAACTTATCAAGGCTGCATTTAAAAAAAATATATAGTCTAGAGAGCTGTACTTAATGAAATTTATTTTTGTTTACACTTGTGTGTACAAATTGAAAAAATAAAATCTGTCTAAGTCTAAGTGTAAATCGCTCAATTACTATATAGAGCGGGGACTATATAGTGGACTATATGGTGAACTCAGTTAACTGAGCGTTCGGACAGATGATCACTGCTTTTTGCTCCGTTGGTCACGTAACTCTGTCTCCACTGTGCGGTGCCTGCGCCATCTTTGTTATTAGTTATGGGTAGTAACATTGTGACAGCAAATATCATAATGCGTTGCGAATAAAGCTTTCCTCGCAAAGCATTCCAGGATATATCTGCCTCTTTTGAGGGCTTTCTCTTCTTCTCATACACCCTCTGCCATTTTCAAACAACCGTGGTGAGAAAGGTGAGCTTCAATTACTATCTGAAAACTGTCATGAAATTAGCACGCGCAGAACAACATAACAAACAGGATGATCACGTAGGATGGCCTTACGTAAACATATCAACAGAATGATTGACAATAAGATAACCACTTATTTAAATGATCCACCCGGAACTAAAAGCTCATCCTCTATACTTTTAATAAAGCTAAATAACAAGAAACTCTGTCTCTTTGTGGTCTTAGTCTGTTTGTAGAGAAATAAGTGAGTTATTCTACCTCAAAAAACCAGATTGGTGTTTTATAAAACTGGCTTGGTCCATAAACCAGACTTAGTTGGCCAAGTCGGGCTTATTTTGTTGTCATTTGGATTTCGTGAACCTGGCTCGCTGTGAGTCTAACTTTTAACTGAGCTAGTGAAGTGAGTGTGGTCAGAACCAGCTGACTGAGGCAATATGTGAATCGGGAAAATCATTAAAAACACTCCAGTCAAAGAAAATGTGCATAAGCTATCACCATTAATGTTCATTCAGCATACAGGCCTTTCAATGTTCCCATCAGTTGCTTTGGATCTATATGGATTCCCACAATCCTTTGCATCTGGACGCAACCCACCTCAAAGTGATTAACAAAAGCAACTCAGTATATAACGGAGATCTTAAGCTGGTTGCCACATTTGTGTAACTTTTGTTTTTCTAGTTGCTTTTGTAAGCAATATTTTCACAAGCATCATCCATGTGCGTTTCACACAATGACTTCTGTAAGACTGAAGGCTGCCTGGATTTAGAACAGCAGCTTGGAGTTCCTGTCCTACCCAGTATAGTGTTCTTACTGGTGATCCGGCGAACGCTGAAAGAACAGGAGTTAGGAGCTACAATTTGCAGTTTTCAGATTGAGAGATTGTTTAAATAAAGAATTTGACCTGAAGGGGGCACTATTATAGCATTGAAATTTCACGCATGCAGTCCTACCAAAAAAACCTCAGTAAACACAAACACGCCTTCAGAGTATGCATGTATTGGAACAGTGGAGCTTAGAAAGTTATTTTAAGACTTTAAAGTAAATTAAATTTCTCCTAATTTATTTAATTTCCTCTCATTTAGACTAATGTAATTCTTTTTCTATATAAACTGCACTGCATAACCAGATAGGAAACAGTTTGACAGCACATTTCAGTTTGAAACTGGTCTGTAACAAAAAAGTAAATATATCTCTGCATTTATGTAAACATGCTAGTATTACAGTTAAAGCAGAAAATAATATTTATCCAAAAATTGGTTAAAAACAATGACAAATGGCAAAAAGTATAATTAAACTGTTTTTAATAGATATGATTTAAATGAGATCAATGTAGCCGTCTGATCAAAAACAATCATTGATTTGATCCAGTCTCCTTTGCTGCTGCTGTCTTTGTGAAGCTTTTTTAAGTTTCCAACACCAATACCGGTACTTTATAAAACAGATAAACATTTATCAAACATTTGCTTCAACTGAAAAATGTGCCTGAATAGTTTTAGATTTCTCTCACAAAGCTTTTTTGAGTGATGGTGAATGTGCTTTGTGTTCTTTAATGAATAAATATCATGTTTGTGGTAAGACATTGCAAAAGATGAGGCATGGAGTTGGAAAAAGTTTAGACGGAAATGATGGAAAGCTAAATTTGAACATAGATTCTGACTTCAGTTAATGTTAATAGTTTCTAATTATACAACATTAGAATTTTCTGGAAGATTGATTTAACTAGAATTTGTTTTACAAAGAAGTAGGTCTGATTAATATCACATAAATATTTTTTTAAATGATCAAGATCTGAAAAGACACCCAACAAAATGGAACAAGTGAGAATAAAATTGGGCAGCTCAGAGCTGCTCCTGTTTAATAAATGATTTAAAAAAAATACTCAATATCTGTAACTAAAAACATTCTTTGTTTTCTTTTTTTTTGTTGCTATTTTTACTAGGAAGGCCTATCACGTCTGATCATGGTTTCCTGAGCATCTCTTCCGCCAAAGCATCCCAGGGATCATTACCCTTTTGGGCCATGACTGCACCTCTTCCAAACACCAGCATTCCCGGGAGCGCATCAGCTCTACTTTTGACCTCTGACTATCTGTTGAACCTGACTGCGGCTTCACAGTTGGGACATGGCTCGGCCCAGTCACTCCCACCACTCTGCACCCTCTGCTGCTGTGGAGTTCTCAACCGCATCCTAGCTGTGGCATTCATGGTCACCCTGGCATTCGCAGTTGTGATTGGAAACGTAGTCACTCTAACAGTGTTTGTGCAAACCAGGCAGTCAAGAACACCACAAGGATACTTAAAAGGTAACTTTATTATGAAGATTTTCTCTTTTTTAAAGATTTAACTGAAACTTGACTCTCAAATGGTCTCTTCATTCTGAAACCCTTTTTCCTTTTTAAATCTTTTCCACAGTATCTCTGGCCGTAGCGGACATGATGGTGGGTGTTCTTGTGGTTCCTTTCTCTGTCTACACTGAAATCTCCCTGATGGTGACCAACGCTCCTCCAATCTGGTACCAGGGTGGTACATCTTCGTCCTTCAATGATCTGGGGAGCCCTTGGCAGCCCTGCATGCTAATAGGTCCCGTGTTTGCAGGATGCACCTTCGTCTCCATCAGCACCATCTTCCTGATGACCTTGGAGCGCAGCGTGGCCATTCTGTGGCCGCTGCACAAGGACTCTCTGGTGACCAGAAGACGAACGCTGCTCCTCATCCTGCTGTCTTGGGCAGCCAGCTTCCTGTTGGCTCTCGCACCTCTTATCTTCAGCAGCAACTTTACGTTGGAGTACAATGAGTGCAGTCGCATGTGTAACTACACCCCACTGTTATTTGAAGGCCGGCTCCCGCCTGATGCCAACATATTGCTGTTGTTCCCAGCATTTGACTTCACACTTTTGGGTGGCACATTAGCAGTCAATATTGTGTCCTTCACAAGCATTCGCCAGTACACCCGGAAACGCAAACTGCTCTCAGTAGGGAGTCTGAGTGATGGAGGGCGAGGAGGGGGAGGATGCTCCCACAGACCATCATTTTCAGACATTAAGGCTGCAAAGACAATCGGCATACTGACATTTGCCTTTACAGCATCTTTTTCTCCTATTGCTGTGTTTGTGCTTGGAAACGTGGTCGGATATGAGTGGTGCAACTTTTCTTTTGTTGCCTTCTGGATCCTGACAGGAAACAGCTGCTGTAATGTCATCATCTACAGCGTGAGGGACCACCGCTTCAGGAAAGGTGTGACCCTGCTTTTTCAAAGAGAGCAGTCTCCCCCTCGTGGTGAGAAGACCTGAGGGCCAAAAGGACTCATTCAGGTTTAACATGCTCATGTTATTGTAACTGATGTCCAAAATGTTAGTTTTTGTTCATATTTAATAATAATTGCATTATTTTTATGCACATGAGAATCAATTCTCTGCTTGTATTTGCACAATGTCAAAGCTTTGCAGAAAGAGAGGAAGTTTTGAATATGTGTTAAACTGGATTAATTAAGCCAATGCCCTTTGAACAAAGAGGACTATGAAAATTAAAAAAAATAATCCAAAACCTTGGAACAGATGTACTTGTTGCTCTGACTGGGATCTCATCCATTCCAAAGGGATTTTCAGTGTAAAAGTGGCAAAAACTGCAGCCCACTAAATAGCCACTGGATGCAAATTTTATAAGCAGTTTAAGTAATTTGTTGACATTCCTTTAAAAGGTATCAATACACCTGGAAGTTTTTCAACCATATTCATGTCATAAACACATTTAAGATGGAAGTTTTTTTGGGATAAAAAACTAAATAAGTGGAGAGGTAATGCCATTTTAGATCAAATCTAAATTTAATTGCAGGAGATGAACAGCACATTTAAAACCAAGAAACATACCAGACTGGAGTAAAACCAGTCAGGCTTTCAGGGTCCTGAAAAAGACAAAAACAGCAAGGATGTTTGTTCATTTAGATATTCAATTGCACAACTAATTAGTGCAAATCATTGTGTATTTCACAAATATGCCCTTTATGGAAGAGGGAAGCCATTGTAAAAAAAAAAAAAAAAGAATCTCTGAAAATGCAGTTTAGAGTTTTCCTCAGACCAAACAAGAAACATGTTAGTGCTCTATTGTGACAAAACAGTTGCAAAACTTTAAGTTTTGTTTTGTCGCCAAGATGCCATCATATCCCCTTGAATACGTCATAATCACCATCATACTCAGAACTGGCATTACCATGCTGTGGGGATGTATTTCTATTCGGGCAGCAGGGACAGAAGCATAGATGGTGTTAAATCCAGGGAAGTTGAAGAAAAAAACATCCTCTAAAGGACTGCAGAATAGGGTTTAAGGGCAGCTGTTGGGCAGGAAAACAAGCTTTTACATATACAGCTAGAGATACGATGGAATGCTTTATATCGCAGTAAATTCATGATAGAACAACCCAGCAGTCAAAAACTGTACATTCAGATGATTATCTTGAAAACTAAAAAAATAACTTTTTCCTGTGTGACAGACTTTCATGTATTTTCTGAGCTTCATGTATTTTGTATTGACTCAGGTTAACCTTACAAGCCACATTGATTGATTTAGTTCTACACATTATAACTCCAGGCCTGCTCTTGTTGAGTTTGCTGGGGGAAAGGAGGCTACATTTGGCAGAGCTTTCTGGTCTGATTGGGCAAAGCAACACTTAGTGTCCACTAAACAAAGTTTGGTTCTTGACAATCAAGGCAACAAATGAGAATTGTGTAGGCACCTGAATGATAACGCTTAGCATCTAAATTTAGATCTACAGTATTTGCCCAAAGCGCCCCTTACTGTTCTTCTTTCAAAGATGAAAATTTGGACTCTGACTAAACGGATGTATTATGAGTAGTGCAGACTTTTAGTGAGCCCAAGTGCCAATTGGCTCCCTAAATAAAGAAAAGAAAACTTGTTTTTAGGAATCACACAGCTATTAATATAGAGATAGATACACCATATGGTTTCTACAGGGGGAATTTAATATAACTTTGAGGTAGGATTTGTTAAAGATCAACCTCAAATGACATCAGTGTTAAAGTTAATGGGAGTCAACACATGGTCTTTATCAGCTTTAGTGAGAAAAAGTGTTTTCATTTGTGTGCGGTTGCTCATTTCTGTGAGAGACTGATTGGGTGGGTTTGCCCCACCTTGCAATCATTAATCATTAAGTGGGAATGGCTGGATTAAAACCAAAAATGTGGGCATGAAATAGTTGCAACAAATGGTGAAGAGACAAAAAGACACTGAGCTTCATAAGTGGATTAAAAAAAATACATTACTTAATAGATTTGTCCAACTAATGTCTATCTTATTTCTTTGCTATTTTAAAATGTCAATTTACAGTCAAACAATGCTTCATTCCATATACTATCTGCAAAAAATATTGAGATGTTTTTCTAAAATGCACAGCAAAAATCAAGTTATATATATATATATATATATATATATATATATATATATATATATATATATATATATATATATATATATATATATATATATATATATATATATATATATATATATATATATATATATATATATATATATATATATATATATATGTATATATATATATATATATATATATATATATATATTCAAATGAGAAATATACCATACACTACAAAAACCATAACACAGTGAATTACTTTCTATTTACTCTGCTTTCTATTTTCTAACATTAGACACAATGTCGATAGCTAACTCAATCAATGTCGTCGAGTCGGTCAGAGATAGCCAGAATAATGTTAGGCTACATACTATAGCTACTATAGGATACATTGGTGCATATGTAGATTTTCTTGGTTGGTACATCCACTGACAATAGAATTACCTGTGAAGCATCTTCCCACAGCTGGCAAACTGCTTATTTTTGCAGCCAAATGCTACACACAAAGGCATTTTTATGGCGCCTCTCCATGAGAGTGGGGAATATTTTCGGGCTATTAGCAATCCGGTGAATAAATAGAAATCAGTTCAAGGAGCTGCTCTACTGCCACAAAAATGTACATGCTCTTAGTATTTTTCAGATTCATTTAAAGATTGAAACTACAAGCACTTCATCAGAAACTGACCTCATTTATTTTTTCTTCCTGTGTGTGGAAATCATGCTGCCGCCTCTACTTTACCATTTTTGTTTACAGTTTTAAATTTAATCCTACTGTGCAACATTTATAGATTTTAAGCCTCTGATTTTACTCTACATTTTAAATAATCTGCAAAATTTATGTCACAAGCACACTTACCTATTTCTGCTGTTTGTATTGCGCTTTGATATCATGCTTAACAGGTTTTAGTTAAGTTTCTTTTTTATTATTCATTATTTTTTTCATCAGCATAATTTAAATGATCAGTATATTTATGACTAAATGAATGGGTTAGCAGCCACAGATGTATTCTATAGTGAGAGATTATGGTCAGATCAGACCTTTGTACTGTGCAGTCTGTCTCTACGGGGTATACTGTATCTGTAGCACTAAGCGATGTCTATGAATCATGTGTGGTGCTGTGCTGTTCAGATTGACTGTATGATAAAAGGTATCAATGACTTTAGAGAATATTGAAGAATAAAATATCATATAAAACCACAATAAAGCATTGTTTGTTCATGTCTAGTACTAAAATATATTGCATGTTGAAGTAAATTTAAACAGAAAACAAACATAACAGGTGACCTATATGAATTATTGTTTTTGTGTAATGAAACCTTTTTCACCCCATGGGGACATAAGTACTGAACCTGTCAACTTCTTCACTTAGTAGATACTTTTTCTAACAAGTATTTCAACATACAACAAAAAATGTGGGGTGAGGCATAGTGTTTGGGGCATTGCGATTGGAATCCAGAGGTTCTGAGTTCAAGTCCCACCCCACAGACTGACACTCCGGATACACTGCTCCCCAGGCGCCGCAATGGCAGCCCACTGCTCTACAAGGGGATGGGTTAAATGCTGATGTGAGGTCAATAGAGATCTATTATTATTTCTTCTCTGTCAGAAATCCCATAAGGAGAACTTGTCTGTGGATGGGCTATTTATGAGATTCAGTTCTTTGCACCTCTAAATTTTAGCCTCATTTGTGCTCAAAAGGACAAAATTCAGAAATATGTCACCGTGGTGTAAAATGTTCATATATGATCATTTTTTATCATGTTTTGCATTAGGCATTTAATGTCATAAGTAGGTTTTGCATAAATAAGGATTTTAAGGTTTTAAGAGAGCACATTGCTTCTACCCATCATGCAATACTTCTTTTGCATTACCTTTATAATGAGAAACCTTTTAAAGGGCATCAGTTTAGACTACAACAGTAGGGTTTCAGTTTTAATTATATAGCGCCAATTCACAACACATGTCATCTCAAGGCACTTTACAGTTTACCAGATCATACAGTCAAATTGATTCAAAGTTTTCTATCTCAGGAAAACCAGTTGATTGCATCGACTCATTGACACGTATGCAATCCGTCAAACGACGCATGCTTGTAGCGACAGTGGAGAGGAAAAACTCCCTTTTAACAGGAAGAGACCTCCAGCAGAACCAGGCTCAGAGTGAGCGGCCAGCTATTGAGGCCGACTGGGGTTCAAGGAGACAGAAGCAGAGAAGGCGGCCCCGTCCAGGAAACAGGAGGAAAGATGATTGTCTAAAAACTTAAGCCTTTTCGCAACTATTACTTTTTTCTCTAATTTCAATTAACCAGAAAATACACTGTAAGAAAAACAATGTATTTAATACTTACTTCCACTTTTATTCTGAGAAATGCTGAAATTTGTTCAATTCCCTATTTAGCTTTATTTTACAAGAGAAGCTTAAGACAAGACAAGAGAGCCGTGCTTTTTACATGCTTATCTCAAGAAAACTCTGTCTCCCAAAAATCATGACGCTCTCTTATGTTTAAATATACTTCTTCTGCATTTTGCCAAAAAGAACTGAAAACCTGTACCATATTTTCTGATTAAAATTCTTACATTGGAATGATAAACAACAAGTATTGTCACCCTTGTTTATATTCTAAAGATGATTTAGAAATGTTCTGCGTTAAGTCACTCAACAGAAAAATTATAATAAAACCTATAACAAAGAAACAAAACAGTCTGACAACAATTCCCTACTGACATTTCTTACTTCAGTGGAGTCTACTGGAAAGATTCACAAGGACATAAAGGGTAATAAAGGCTGAGAATGATCTGAAAAGAAGTTGAAGAAGGATGAAGGATGGCGGGGTTGGCAAACCCACTCCAGAGGTCCACAGTGGGAACAAGCTTTCACCTGAACTTTAAAAGAAATAACACCAGCATATTCAGTAGGCAGTAAGAGGTGGTTCTGTAAATTCAGCTGAAAAAGTCTTGACAGGCTTTTCAACCACCTTTAGGAAACATTTCCAATTAATAATTAATAAGAGAGCGAGCAGCTGAGAGATGTGAGAGCAACATCTAAGGAACCCATGGTATGGATGACACGTTCAGATTCACATACACTGGCTATAGCCAAGAGCCTCCATGTCCTCTCAGCTGTTGCTGTCTTTCCCCTGCAGGTGTGATGCAGAACCATTTCAGTAAAAGGCATCAACTTTAAATTATATTTTTGAAGGTTTGATTTTGAAGAAGTTAAGTGAAGCAATCTGTTTACCTGCAGAAGACAATCTATTAGAAAAGGTTTGGATAAACTCAGGTGTAAAACACAAAAGCAGCTAATAGAAAGCTCAAACTCTATAAACTCTGTAGGTCTGCTAAG